GTGTCGCTTCCCTTACCCCGCCGGCCGGCTCGGAGTCCGATATCCCCCGAGCGGCAGAGGGGCCGCGGGCCCTTTAAGGGCTCCACCTGTCGGGGCCCACGGCTGGGCTGTGTGACCCGGAAGTGAACGTTAACCGGAAGGCACGGAGCAGGAGGTGACCCGGAAGTGAAGGCTCTGGGGGGAGGATGCCGCTGCCCGTCCAGGTCTTTAATTTACAGGTAAAAAGTCTCCCGAGGGCCGGGCCGGGCCGGGCCTGCGGGCGCCGCGTTGCCGGGCGCTCGGTGGCTTGTGGCCTCGGCCCCCGTGCGGCGGAGCCGGGTTTCCTGTCCCGCCGGGATCCGCTCCGAGCCCCCGGCCTGGGAGCGCTGCGGGGCGGCGGCGCGGCCCCTTCCCCGCGGGTCTCTGTTCCGCCAACGCGGCGGCGCGGGCTCTGGAGCGGGCGTTGCGGCTGCGGTGACCCGGGGCCGGGGACCGTTCGCTCCCGGGGCGTCCGAAGGCCTCGGCCTGGCGCGTTGTGCCGCCTTCGCCGCCGTATTTCCCGGCGCTTGGTTCTAACGGGCCCCCAGCTGCTCTCGAGCGCAGCTTCCCGATGGCCCGGCCTGGGGCGGCTCCGCCGGAGTCCGGAGCCGTTTGGCTCGGTCCGTTGGGTGCCGGGATGCCTAGGGGCTGTGCCTGTTTCGCTGCCCACCGGATTGTGGAGGCTCTTCCTTAGCCCTGCCAGTGGCGTAGCCTCGGCCGCTGAAAGCTGCGTTATAACATTGCCTGTAGCTATTCGTGCCTTTTGCACCTATAGCTGCTGACTTCTAAGGTCCCTAAACGGAATGAGTTGCAGAATATTCTGGTCCTGTTCTAGTGACTTCATATACTGGGGTGGCCAAACTTACTGATCCTCCAAACCACATGTGACAATCCTCAGACGTTTGAGAGCTGGGTCTCACCTGCTGGGGCTTCATCCCTGTGGGAGCTGCCTGCCCCAGCAGCTTCAGCCCCACTCCTGTTAAAGCCCCTTGCCCCAGCAGGTGTGCCGTTTGGGGCAGAAACCCTGAGACTCCCCTCCCCACTGGGCAGAAGCCCCTACTCTACCACTCTGCTGCAAGGCAGAGGTCCTTAGCTCCCCTTCTGCCAGTCTGGTTGGGGGAGAGTGGTAGAGGGAGGGAACTGCACTTTAATGGTAAAAGCCACATGTGGCTCCTGAGACACAGTTTGGCTTCCTCTATTATATACTACAATAGTTATTGCTAGCTCCACTCTGCAATGTACCATGTACATTACAATAGCTGCTGGTTACTTTATTCTACTTTCTGAGAACTATGCTTTAGCTATCTTTTTTATTTTATTGGACTATGATGTTAAACTTCTCCTGACTGCTGATCTTTCTGTAGGAGTTGTACATTCCTGCCAACAGAGCTGGACCAGGTCTTTTGAAACAACTGGTTGGCAGAAAATTCAGGGAGATTAATCTAGCTTGCTTATACCACTCATTACATGAACAGCATGCAAACAAGTATGTTGAAGGAAGGGACAATATTCCCAATAATTATAGCAGCTTTGCTGGGCTGCTTTCAAATATATTTATTTCTAAAGCAATATTCATTGTGTGCCAGTTACATGTAAGTTCTTGAGGTAAGGGAGTGTGGCCCAGTAAATCAGCAGGTAGAGAGGAGGTGAAGGCTTGCAGTGAAGAGGTAAGAATGTAAGAACCTATAAGCCACTGTTCAAACCCCAAAGGGAGTGGGAACGCTAAGCATAGGAATGTCTGGGGACTGCCCCGTGAATCCCTCTGCAAGTTAACTGTCTTTCTTCCCTTTAGCAGCCGGCAAGTTCTGTGTCAGGGAGAGGGGGTGCAGAGAGTCAGGACAGGATGAGGGATAGCTCAGCTCCCAGCTCAGCTTCTTCATCAGTGACAGATCTATACTGCACTCCCCACAGCAGTAGGTCAGACCTCTTCCTTCCGAGTACAGCAGGAGACTTCAGCTTGAGTGCCAGCTTGTCAGCTTGTACACTGCTTTATGAGGTACCTTAAAAAAGAGGGCACTCATGTGGGTTCAGAAAAACTTGGGGAGTGAGTGAGAGTGAATTGAGTTTTAACTACTCTGTGACAGTGAATGTTTGTACAAAAACTATGACTACCTGAAAAATGAATAACCAGTTTGAGATCAACAACCGATTGTGTACATTCTCTTCAGAATCCTAATTCAAAGTTACTGTGGTGAAGGCATTTCCCCCTGTCTTGGGGGTGGAGGATGGGGGGTTGGGGAGAGGAATCTCATGGGTGGGGGTGATGCAGGGTATTGCCCCATATAGTGATGGAAGAGGACTGTTCCTGTTCTGTATCTGGGCTTTTCCCAGCTGGATTTGTACATTATTGTTGTCCTGAGCACTGGTGTATATAATCACTGGCAGTCTCTCTCTCTCTGTCTCCAGAGAGAGAATAACAAACTATGGCAACTGAAAAACACTCCTCTGTATACTTATCTTGGCTTGCTTTTACTTTGGGCCTTGACAGAGTTCACTTAAATCTTCTTGTCACTCAAGTCGTGTCAGCATTGTCTACTTTGGAGTTATGCAATATGTCAGAGCAAATGGGGGGTGGGAGGGAGAGCCAATGGGTTGTCAGTTTTAGAACTAGGAATTCTGGAACTTCCATGACCCCTGTCAAAAAAATTTCACTTTCTACCCTTGATTCCTGGGGAAGAGCAGAATCTATGAAAATATAGGATACATTTCTAGTCAGGTCAGATTATTGGGAAGAAAAGATGGTGTTTTTTGCCAGAAGCTGGGAATTGGTGACAGGGGATGGATCACTTGATGATTACCTGTTCTGTTCATTGTCTCTGGGGCACCTGGCATTGGCCACTGTTGGAAGACAGGACACTGGGTTAGATGGACTTTTGGTCTGACCCAGTGTGGCTGTTTTTATGTAAAATACTATTCTCAGTGCTGTTTGCTTTTGCTGGCCTCCTTGTGCTTGGGTCTCCTGGGTGAAGCTTGAATATGACCCTGGAGTGGGGGAATATGGTGGTTATCTCTGAAGCATTATCTTATGGCATCAAAAAGGGTCATTGCTTGCAATACGTTCTCCACATCTTTGACTCTTTCCAGTCCAAGGGCTTGTCTGCACAGGGAAACTTACAAGTAGAACTATAGTGGTATAATTATACCACTGTATAGTTACACCAGTATAACACCTCAGCTGGGCACACTTACTCCAGAATAAGCATGCCTTTTTCCAGTATAGTTTATGTTGCTTTCAAAGTGACATGCTATGCTGGAAAAAGGCACTCTTGTTCCAGAATAAATTTGCACACAGGGCATTATAACTATATAGCAGTAAATTTCCCTGCATAGACAAGCCTTTACCTGAAGCATGTATTAATTCTTCATAAAGATGAATGGGGCAGTTCACACCTCCTACAGCTACTGTTCTAGGTTTTCTGCAGACCCTGTCTGCAGCTTACTTTGTTCATGGGTGTTTGTTTGTTTTTTTTTCCACAACCAGAACAGCTAGAGAGTTGTGGGGTTTTTTTGTTTTGTTTTTGTTTTTAAATAAGATCCCAGAGAGAAAGGTATTCGTTTCAGAGAGTTGCTGGTGTGGTGTATGGGTGCGCATTGGGTATTTCCAAGCGCCACTTGTAGTGCTATCCCTCAGCTGATAACCTGCCTGACCCTGCTCAGAAAAGATGCTTTTTGGAATATGCCATGCATCTCTGTGATGCTGCTACATGTTTAGAAGATATTCTCATGCTCCTGCATTTTCTTGCTTGAAAAGCTACTGAAGGAGGGAAAGTGTTGTGTGTGAATGGTAGTGAGCCGTTCTCACTCTGGAGGAGCCTTTAGTTCTGAGGAATGGGATTGTGTGGGAGGTAGGATCCTAAAGAGAAGATTTTTCAAGAGCAGTGTCTTCATTTCTCCATTACATGTGTGTTTAAGTGGAGTCTGTCTTGATTGTGAGCCCATCTTTGAGCAAGCTGTTTCCTGTGGGGATGTGAATGAACCATATTTGACCCCATATTTGCTGTTGCAGGGCGCAGTGGAGCCTATGCAGATTGACGTAGACCCACAAGAGGATCAGCAGAATGCACCTGATATCAACTATGTGGTGGAAAATCCAACTCTGGTATGTACTAATTGAGGGGCAGAGAGATGTTTGTGCTTGGCCTCTCCCCTGGAAGGCTCTATAGAGTACTCCACTGTCATTTCCCTCCTGTAAATATTTCAACAGCCGCCTGACAGCAACTCCTGTGTGGGAGGTGATAGAGTAACAATGAGCCTCTTTTCCTATGCTAATCTTTCTTGCATCTCCTGGGGGAGGGTTGGAAGTCGTCATATTGGTGGTGCACTGTATATAGCCTTGATGTAACTTCTGTTCTGAGATGGCTTAGTGCAGGTGTTCTCACAACAAATTTTTTGGTGGCCTCGGAGTGTAGTTACCAACTCTTGCTAGTGGCCATTCTGACAAACTTTCCTGAAAGATTTGGTTAACTTTAGGAAAAACAAACAAATATGCACATATACAGGTCCAAATCATTGTAATTTATTAATGTAGGTTTTTTTCAGACTCAATAATCAAAAGAATGTATAGTTGTATTTTGGTGCCCTTGGCCCCTGCTGCCTCCCCTGGCCTTCCACCGGTTGCCTCTGGCACCTGCTGCCTCTCCCCGTCTCGCATAGCCCCCATTGCCTCCCCCCCATTGCCCCAAGCACCCTTCCATAGCCTCTCACCCCACTCCTTGCCTCTTGACCACTGCGCCCTGTAAGGCTGGCCCTGCTGAAGTCCGACCGCTCTGGACTGAAGCCAAGAGCCGGAGCCCCACAGCTGGATTCAGGGTGTGGGAGGCCAAAGCCCTGAAGCTGGAGGGGGGCTGAAGCAAGAGCCCCACAGCTGGGGGAGGAGGGTTAAGCCCACCCCCAGAACCCTGTGGCTGAAGGGGTGTGTGTGTAGCTGAAGTGGGGGAGGGAGGGGTGAATCCTGCCCCTGAGCACTGCAGGGAGGAGGCGCTGCTTTGCCCTCTTCCCCATCTCTGCCCAGGAGACTGTTGTGGCCACAGGAAAACCCCTGGTAGCCACAGTGGCTTCATTTGAGAAATGCTGGCTTAGTGCATCCCTCTGATACCAGTAGGTGAATCTGCTTTTCTTCTCAGGCTTATGCTTTACCCTGAGGAGTTGATAGCCATGTTTCTTAAAGGGTATAATTATAATGGGGTTTTTATTCTTGAGTCTCAAGCTTCCCAGCTGAGACTAGCTGGAATTGTCAAAGCTAAAGAGTTTGGAAGGGCTGCATTCTCCACATGTCAGAAGGCAGAACGTTCTGATCCTGTACCATTTCCGGTACAGCCTTCAACAGCCACTCCTCTTTTTTTCTGAAATATTGACCAACTTCAGTTTATTTTATTAACTTTGTAAGGATGGTGGATAAGGCCCAGCCCCTGCAGAGGATACAAATAAACAGTCAAAATATAATATTAAAAAAATTGAAAGTTGCAAAGTCAAGCATTCCAAAGTTAGAAAATGGCATTAAAATGGCATCAAGCATTCCAAACAAAAATGGCATTAAAAGAACACTATTAAGGTTGTGAAGTCAAGCACCCAGACATCCGGAAATGCCAAAATTAAGGTTGCCCCTGTGAGTGTGCATTATGATAGTCTTTAATTACATGATCACATCCATTTTTTCCCCACAGGCCCCCAGCCTCATTCAAGGCACAAAATGGATAGTGTTCACTTAATGAGCAGCTATTCAATATTTTGTTTCTTCCTCGTTCTTCAGTGAGTGGCCCCAACCCTTATTTTCTGCACACTGTTCAAACTCTGCTCCAAAGACAGAATTATTAATTTCCTCATGAGTTTGGTATTATCACTCCAATACGTGAATGCTTCACAAATGTTTTTTTCAACACCTCTGTGAGATGAGGGGGTAGTATTCTCATTTTATAGATAGGGAACAGAGCCAGAGAGATTAAGGTCAAACATGTCCACTAACTTTGAGTGCCCAATTTGAGAGATCTAGGACCTGATTTTTCAGTGTATGTCACATTATATAGTGCTTCATATGTTCAAAGCACATCACCCATTGGTTTCAGTTGCAGATGTGAGTGCTCAGCTCCTCTGCAAAATCAGACCAAGACTGGCATCTATAAAACAATTACTAGCCAGCTGTGAAAAGTTTGCTTTAAGTGACTTGCCTGGCATCACATAGGATCTCTGGTGAAGAGGCACTGATAGAATGCAATTCTCCAGGGCAGCATTCAGCTGCCTTAACCATGAGACCATCCTTGTCTTCCTGCAGTCCCCTGACGCATTCACTACGCTCCTTCCATTAGCTATGGGCAGGCTTAGCCATCTGCTCATTTCCCTCCTTGGCTCCCAGGCCCCCTCCGCTCCCGGATCTTGTCCCCTCCTCATTTTTTGTTTCAGGCAGCTTTCAACTGCCTGGGTGTCAGCAGAGGGAGCACTGAAAGTGTAAGGAGAGAGAGTTTCTCTGCTTTTCTCTTCTAGTGCCTGAACCCAGACTTGAACCCTACCTGCCCTGCAGTATCCCAGAGCTGCAACTGTTTCAGGGAAAGTGTGATGCTGGACCCCATATTCTTCATAAAAATACTGTTATAAGATGAATGGCATAACTAAGATATGTTTTATGCAAGATAGGTCTTGTCAGATCATTGGAAAGGTTATGATTTACTGAATATGATTACCCTATTTGTATGCATGTATCATTGCTGTATATGAAGTTAGGAATATAAGCTCTGTATCAATTGCAAAAGTGTTTGCATCTGGGAAATGCTCACCAGACAGTAGGCAATCAGGCTGAATGGGCCATTAGGAAAGACAATGCAATGGGTCTTTGAAGATGCTGGTCTCCCATATTCCTGGAGTTCTTTCCTGTGGCCATTACAAATAAACCTTGTCTCATGGTTGCTTTGACACTTCAAGGTCATGTGATCATGTCACCTGGGACAGGACATCATCTTGAGCTGGTACTTTTCCACTGAAGGGGGATGGGGATCACACTGGGAAACAAAAGTTTCCCACCATATGTAAATCCTGTTTAAGGCTGGGAAATGAGTCAATCAATGTCCCTGGTCCTTCACTGAATCCCCGCCCAGGATGACTGCTGGAAATACCTAAGACTGATCTGGGGAGTAGAACTGGGACCCAAGCTGAGAAAGGTCAGACTGGGAAGGGTATACCTGGAGATTTAAGCTGCAAGCAGTGCAGCTTATCTTCAAGAAACGCTACAATCTGCATGAAACAACATTTAGGGTGAGAAATTACTGTTTGTAGCCGCTTTCTTTAACGTATGAATTAAGTCTAGTTTGTGTGTGTTGTTTTATTTGCTCAGTAATCTGCTTTGATCTGTTTGCTATCCCTTATCACTTAAAATCTGTATTTTGTAGTTAATAAACTTGTCTTTGTTTTCTATAAACCAGTTTGTACAATTCATATCGGGGGCGGGGGAGCTGTGCATATCTCCCTCCACATTGAGAGAGGTGGTGATTTTTATGAGCTTGCACTGTACAAATCTCTCTATACAGTGCAAGACAATATTATTTTGGGTTTGCACCCCAAAGGAGGTGTATACGTGAGTGCTGGGTAAATCGCTGAGCTGAATCCTCCCACACAGAGCTGATTTCAGTCTGTCTGCAGCTGGGTGTGGTCTTACCTGTGTGTGTGCTAGAGAAGACTTGAAGGCCTGGCCCAGCAAGGAGAGGGTGAGGAAGCCCAGGTTGGTGGAACGGGGGGGCTCAGTGGGACCCCAGTATATCAGATGGCATCATGGACTGGGGGTCCTGCTCAGTCTTGGGCTAGAGCATACTCAGTGTAGACAGACTTTTTGGGGACAATAGCTGTGAAGTTCTGGCAAGTTTTCTGAGCATGTGCAAACGGCGACTCCCCACCCCCCTAACCTCCCCCCCCCCCAAAAAAAGGGCTCAAATCTTAGCCAAATTTGGGCAGATTTTCACAAGTATATAAAAGCCATCTTCCTGCCATGTATAAATTCCCTCCTCCAAAGCATGGGGGTGTTGGAGATTCTCAATTGAAGAGCCCCAATAATTCTTTAACATGGGCAAAACAATGTATTTTTCCCTACCTTTGTTCTCAGAAATGGCTGAAACTTAAAATAATAATAATTCAGCCTGAGGCAGACATGTGTCTTGGAAATTTGAATGGTTAAAATTGACAAAGTTATTAGTAATTGAAAACAGGGTCTTATAGGGTATGTCTACACTGCTATTAAACACCCGTGGCTGGCCCATGTCAGTTGACTTGGCCTTGCAGGGCTTGGGGTACGGGGCTGTTTAATTGCAGTGTAGATGTTCAGGCTCAGAATGGAGCCCAGTCTCTGGGACCTTCCCCCCCCTTGCAGGACCTGCAGAAGAGCTCTGTTCAAGCACGAAAGATTGTCTGTCTCACCAACAGAAGTTGGTCCAATAAAATATGACACCCCCCCCCCCCCCCCCTGTATCTCTAAAACCCCCAGGGGGGGAGAAAAGGAAAAAGAAAAGTTTATGTTCTGCTGAGTGGTTTAATGTTTTCCAGTGGGGTTGGGCTGCAGGAACAGACTCTGCAGGACAGAGGGGGGGGCTTGTGGGCCACTCAGGTATTTGTGTTAGTGATGCTCTCTCTGGGCCTGGGTTTTGTTTGCAGGATTTGGAGCAGTATGCGTCTAGTTACAGCGGCCTGATGCGGATTGAGCGGTTGCAGTTCATCGCTGACCACTGTCCGCAGCTGCGGGTGGAGGCCCTCAAGATGGCGCTGTCATTCGTCCAAAGAACTTTCAATGTTGATGTGTATGAGGAAATCCACCGAAAGCTGTCAGAGGCCACCAGGTACCAGGAGGTGGTGGGAATCTGGAGTGCTGCTTTGACCATATCAGGGCAAATGTAGCACAGGAAAACCTCTGTGAAAGAGGAGATTGTGTGTAACAGCAAAATGCTCCTTGTGGAGATTAGATGAGAATCTGACATCAGACTGCAGTGAACTGACCCTGCCTACATCTTGGGCTCAGTGCTTTCTTAGAGATGAAATACACAGAAGGGTCTGTTCTCTCTCTGACCTTTCACATTAGTAAAGGTTAAACATGGATGTTGAGGACAGGCTAGACCTTGTAGCTGTTCTCAAATGCCTTATGTACATAGAGAGAGGTCTGTGCCTTGGGGAGGTTTGGAAATTCAGCTTCTATTGGGTGTTCTGCATTCTCTACGTCAAAAACCCTGTTTAAATGTTCACTTCTCTGACTTAGCCTTTCACAAATTGCAGCCTTGCTGATGAGGCTTTGGTTGTTAGCGATTAGCCTTGATACTTTCCTTATTTATCCACCGTTCCCAGCTTGATCTTTACAATGCAGTTATGATGCACATGATGATTTCTTGATTAATCTGCATTGGATGGGACCCTTCTATTGTGTGTAGAATCTTAATGCCTTGCATGGCAATGTATTGATGCTTATTGGTTTCTTGTGAGTTTGGGAGTAAATGTCAGTGGAACAGAATGGATTTTAAACTGGTTTAACTGAGGTAGAGAGACATATTATCTGACAAAAATATTGGGAGAGGGGAGTTCAATTCAAGCAGGAAGCACTGACCTGAGATAGGTAAATTAGGCCATTCTCTGGAGCTGCTTTTCCATTTGTGGCTGAGATATGGGCACTTCATTTAAAGACTGGGGGTATTGTGACCTCCCTTCTTTAGCCTGGTCCTGAAGTAATTTGCACGTTGCTGTCCAGCTGGTTGAAACCAATTAGGAAGAGAGCAAAGTGTAGGGAAGTGTGCACACATTGTATCTTGTATGGAGGTGCTTGAAGTAGGGTTGGTGACTCTTGATGCTCATTAAGTGGGTTAGTGGCTCACAGCACCATTACTGACTCGCTAGAATCAGATTTATGGAATAGGCTCACTCTGTTTTTCAATTAGTCAGGAACCTGCTTGTTCAGAACGTATCTGTAAAAGGAACACTTTTTTGAGGAAAAGTGTTTTTAACTGGCTGTGACAAAAAACAAGGCAACTTTTAAAATCCAATTAGAATGCAGATTTTCACTACTGATTATGGGCTTTCCTTTTCCTCTTGCCTCCTTATTGTTTAGATGGTTGCTCTTGTAATGCATGGTGCTGTATGCCAGGGGAACTGTGCCACATAAATAGAGGTTATAGCTTAACAGCCCAATTCAGACTCTTATTGGCTTGACTTTCAGAGAGCTGCAGAACACCCCTGATGCTGTCCCTGATGGTGGGATTGAGCCCCCTCCTCTTGATACAGCGTGGGTTGAGGCCACGCGGAAGAAAGCCCTTCTCAAACTGGAAAAGCTGGATACAGATCTGAAAAACTACAAAGGAAATTCAATCAAGGAGAGCATCAGGTGAGGAGGGAAATGCTTGATTGGAGTGGGAAAGAGCATTCTGCTCCCCCCGGGAGAATACAGCTCAGCGCCTGGGTTGCATTAGATGGGGCTGGGTGCAATGTCCATTTGAGTGGCACGAACAAGCTTTGTGCCTCTCCTTCCCACAGTCAATAGGAACCCTGCACTTTTCTGAGATTTTCTGCCTGTGTGCGCAGCTCACTGCTCGTCTCATCCTTCTCTCCAGGAGAGGCCACGATGACCTGGGTGATCACTACCTTGACTGTGGAGACCTCAGCAATGCTCTCAAGTGTTACTCACGAGCCCGTGATTACTGTACCAGTGCGAAGCACGTCATTAACATGTGCCTCAATGTCATCAAGGTAGGGAGCCATGCAGTGAGGGAATCGTACAATCTGCAGAGGAGTCCCTCTTGCATAGATGAGTTACACCTTTCTATCTCTGAAATGACCTTGGTCAGCCAGCAGATAGCACGATTTGCTTATTCTTTGATTTGCTCCCATTGCATTGTTGTATGTCTGTCTCCTTGCAGGTTAGCGTTTACCTTCAGAATTGGTCCCACGTTCTGAGCTACGTAAGCAAGGCGGAGTCCACCCCAGAAATTGCAGAGGTAAGAGGTTTCTTTCCCTTACAGATCTCAGATGTTTCCTCTGTCTGTGCTGTACCTCTTCAGTCAGGGTTGGCCAGACCTCCCCTCTCCCTTCCCTCACTCTCTATTGGACTTGCTCCATGCATCTTTCCTTCCCTCATTGCCCAAACTCTCACACAAGCCAGTGTTCTCCAGCCAGGGCCGGCTCTGGCTTTTTTGCCGCCCCAGGCAAAAAAGCCTCCGGCCGCCACACCCCCCCCCCCCGCGGAGGGGGGAAGGGAGGGCGGCCGGAGCCCTGGGGGGAGGGCGGCGAGCCCGGCCGTGGCCCCGCTCTCCCCGGGGGCCGGAGCGCCGCGCCGCCCCCCTCCAGGTGCCACCCCAAGCACCAGCTTGGTGGGCTGGTGCCTGGAGCCGGCCCTGTCTCCAGCTAAGCAGACTGTCAGTCCATCCTGCTGCTTGGTATGCTCTCCTCTCTGGGCTCCACCGCCCCTTTTATCTCCACAGTGACTTGTGCCTGGAGCACTTTACCTCTCATTGAATGGAGTAGGACCATGTCCTCTGACCACCTCTGTCCTGTGTTTGCCATTAGCCATACAAGGCTAGGCACTGTGTATGGTGTCCTTGTGGCCTTCCCTAAGGGGGTGGGGGTGAAACTACCTTCCTATTGAGAATGCTGCCTACCTTCCCAAATGGGTTCCTGGGTTTTAATATCCCTAGGGCTATCTGGGGATCCAGCTGCTGAGATCAAAGGGAGCTCCCAAAGCCAATTGGCTTCCCCCAGTACGATTAAAGGAAAGTGGTGGGAAGGGATCTGTTCTTGTCACTCACTCCTGCTCCTTTCACCCTCTAGCAAAGAGGAGAGAGGGACAGCCAGACACAGGCGATTCTCACCAAACTGAAGTGTGCAGCAGGTGAGTGAGCTCCTCTGCTTCCCGGATGCCACCAGGCTGTCTTCTCACCCGTTTGCGATTCCTGGGGGTTTACTGAAGGGGAGAGTGCCTCTCACCCAGCCAAGGAGTGCTCAGAATGTTCTCACTGGTCTCTGTACTTCACGTTCTCTTGGCAGGACGCAAACGCAGTTGACTGGATACAAGAAGTTTTGAGCAGGGAACCATCCTGGAGTTCCCATCCCTGACTGGTTCCTGCCCCTCCCCAAACTTCCCAAGGCAGGGCTCCCTAGTGCAGTTCATTTCAGTCTCTAGAATGTCACTTAACTGACACAATGTCTGCTTCCCCAAAACTGTGGGGGCTCTAGCAACTCCTCGGGATCCTGGTGCCCACTCCACTCTTCCATATTTCTTATTTATGTCCTAACTAGTACATGTATGGTAGCGGACAAAGAACTAACTAAGTCTGATTCCTAGGCTTAGCTGAACTAGCAGCTCGGAAATACAAGCAGGCAGCAAAGTGCTTCTTGTTGGCCTCATTTGACCACTGTGACTTCCCTGAGGTAAGAGGACCAAGAGAGGGCTGTGTGCAGGGGTCAGAGGGGAAGCTATGTTCAGTATCTGTCTGTGTAAGGTACTTATGGGCCCCCATCACGGTAGTATCCGAGCCCACAATCTGTAATGTATTTGGCAAACAGGATTATTCCCATTTTACAGATGGGGGAACTGAGTTACAGAGGAATCTGCTCAAGATCACACAGGAAGTCTGTGGTGGAGCCAGGGAACTGAATTTAGGGGAGGTCAGATAATGGAATTGAAAGGCTGGCTGCTGGGCATTATTCCAGCTTTTGGGGTCTGAGTGAAGCCTGGTTTTGGGGAGTGTCCATGTTTTCACTTGGTCCCACTGTATTTGTCAAGGGTCAACCTGTATTCCTGCTGTGGGAGGGGAGGGTCTGGGGGCTTAGCTCTGCCTTGCTCCATGTTACAGCATTCAGTGATGCTTCAGTTCTGGTCTCAATCTCTGTCTCTCTCTAGCTGTTATCTCCTAGTAACGTGGCTGTGTATGGTGGCCTCTGTGCATTGGCCACCTTTGACCGTCAGGAACTGCAACGCAATGTCATCTCTAGCAGGTAGGTGATGCCTGCCTGGGGAGGAGTTTGTGGGATGGGTACTGGAGCGTTGCTCAAGAATGGTCTCTGGTTGGAGGTGAGGCATGAGTTCCAGAACCCCACTTAGTTAGGTATCTAAACCTTAAATGTTAGCTGGGATTTCTCTATGAAAAGGCACCAGCTGAGACTTTCATAATAGCGACATAGGAATTGTCAGAATGGATCGGACAAAGGTCCATCTAGCTCAGTCTCTTTTTCTGACAGTGGCCAGCACCAGATGCGTCAAAGGATGGTGTAAGAACTGCTCAGTAGTAGTTGTGGGATAATCTACCTCCACATTAGGTCTCATCCTGGTCTCTAGTAGTTAAAGATTGGCTTAAACCTTGAAGTGGGATGTTAATATCCCTTCCAAAATTTGTCATTAATTATACCTGTGGATATTCATGATAGCCATACAAATATCCAGTATAATAACCCCCTAACTGATAAGGGTGCGTCAATCCTAAATTGAGGGGGTAAAGGAGTTGTCCTCTCTCTGTTAACCAGCCAGCTTCCCTGGCATGACAGGCAGGTGGCTTGCAGGGAGAGGTCAACAACATGCAGAGATTTGTGGGAGGGACTTTGGAGGTACTGGGCTCCCTGGAGAGGATCCGTGTCCTCTGTGGATTAAAATCTGTTATGCTGAGCCGTACCCTGCTTCTCAGCACACTGTGAGTAAAGGTAGTGTTCCCAAAAGGGAAGCTGAGCGCTGGTTAGCATAGTGCAGACAGGTGCTGCCCAACCCTGACAGTACTGATGCCATCTTGGTCCTGACCTGCCCCGCGCCACATACTTTTCCTATATTTTATGGAAGGGGACCTCCAGTACAGGCTTCGGCAGGAGGTTCTTGCCTTTCACTGACCCTGGCACCTTTGCTATGCTGAATCCACCCCTGCCCCCAACCCCAGAGAAAATGGGCTGTCCAGGCTGCTAGAGTGTTAACACTTGGAGCATCATAGGGCAGTGAGGAGAGTGTTCATAGCCAGGTATTGGGGTGATAGTGTTTGTGGGGTGGGTTGTGTCAATGACTGGTCCCAGGGCCTGACTACCGCTGTGTCTCTACAGCTCCTTCAAACTGTTCTTGGAGCTGGAGCCTCAGGTGCGTGACATCATCTTCAAGTTTTACGAATCCAAATATGCTTCATGCCTGAAGATGCTGGATGAGATGAAAGTGAGTCCGGGGGAGACGACATGGGGATGTGGGACCTCAGGGTTCCATGTGATGAGTGTGGGAGAGGGTGACATGGGGCCTGAGGGTTCTTCTCCTTTGTCGTAAGAAAAGCAGTGAATGTTCACATTGGCTGAAGTTGTAGTTGTTTCATGTTGGACTCTTCTGCTCTGCTGCTTGGTTCTGCGTGGGAGTGAACAAGAATCATGATTTAATTTTTTTAAATTGATTTTTATTTACATGTTGCTAGTTCTTTACTTCTCTTTCTATAGACTTAAATTGTTATAGTGGATGTTTGGTCCTTGTTCCTTTAATTAGTTGCTGGACTGTTACTAAAATTTCAGACTTTGCATTGATTTTTTTTCTGCCAAGAAGCTTCACGCTTAAAATGCACAATTATGCTGAAAAACCAAGTCCATGGCCTCATCAACAACTGCAGTGTGAGAACATATCTCAGTAGCTAAGGGTGGGATTTTCAACAGCATCCGAGGGACGTAAGAGCACAAATCTTATTGATTTTAGACAGAAAACCCTGATGAAGTCTAGCCTGGTCAAAGCATTTCAGCTTTCTTGCCTTATGGAAGTTTCAGTATATCGGAAGGTGGTGCTGGCTCCAAAAATAACATGGACTACTTGCTCATTAATTTAATGTGTGAATTTGTGGTCTTTTTATAGAAAGGAAAAAATGTTTTTAAAATCTGTAACTCTTAAGAACATAAGAATGGCCCTACTGGGTCAGACCAAAGGTCCATCTAGCCCAGTATCCTGTCTTCCAACAGTGCCAGGTGCCCCAGAGGGAATGAACAGAACATGTAATCATCAAGTGATCCATCCGCTGTCACTCATTCCCAGCTTCTGGCAAACAGAGGCTAGGGACACCATTCCTGCCCATCCTGACTAACAGCCATGGATGGACCTATCCTCCATGAATTTATCTAGTTCTTTTTTGAACCCCGTTATGATCTTGGCCTTCACAACATCCTCTGGCAAGGAGTTCCACAGGTTGACTGTGCGTTGTGTGAAGAAATACTTCCTTTTATTTGTTTTAAACCTCCTGCCTATTAATTTCATTTGGTGACCCCTAGTAAGTTTTTTTTTGTTTTTAGTTAAAATTTTAAAAATTGATTTAAAAAAAAAAAATCATTATTTTTATCCAGCCTGCTTCCTGCTCTAGCTTCTAATATTTTGCTCTTTCTTTTGCATAGGATAACCTGCTGCTGGATATGTACCTGGCGCCTCATGTGAGGACACTCTACACGCAGATCCGAAATCGTGCCCTTATCCAGGTAACTGTTCCATGCAAACTTGAGGAACGGGTAAGGGTTAGAGGTAGGACCTCTCTCCCACCATAAGTTTCAAAGGATTGGGGGTGGAGGTGGATGAACCTGGAAACTGACTGTATTTTCTTAATCTTAGTATTTCAGCCCCTACGTATCAGCAGACATGCGCAAGATGGCCACAGCATTTAACACCACGGTGGCAGCGCTGGAGGATGAGCTGACCCAGCTGATCCTGGAAGGATTGATCAATGCCAGAATAGACTCTCATAGCAAAGTGAGTGTCCCCACACCTCAGTCTGTTTCTGATGGCAAGTGCTAGGTTGTTGCTGTACCACCGTCTTGGTTAATACAGCAGGAGTGTTGCTTTTTAATGACGAGCTCCTGAAGAACTGTTTCACTCTCCCTCTCTTTGCTCCTGGAATACTGTTTGAAGCTGCATTTGCTTGTATTGAGGGTGTGTTTGCCTAGCTGATATGTCAAGGGTTTGAGTCCTGTAGATTCCTCCTGGTCTGTTGTGTGGAAGGAGCTTCCTAGTAATCGAGCCCCTTTCCAGTTTCCGTGTTGAGTTCTTCTTGTTGGTTACAGATTCTTTATGCTCGGGATGTAGATCAGCGCAGCACCACCTTTGAGAAGTCCTTATTAATGGGCAAAGAGTTCCAGCGACGTGCCAAAGCCATGATCCTGCGGGCAGCAGTCCTGCGCAACCAGATACACGTCAAGGTGAGCAAAGGGCCCCTTTGTCATGGAATCTGAGATAAAGGGCAACCATTTGAATGATGTGGTGCAGAGGGGTAAAAGCTGGTGACTAGGGACTCTAGGGAAAGAGGTTTGCTGTACCCACAAGAGGATGGATTCTGAGAATGTTAGAGAATGGAGCTTGCAGCTAGCAGGACAGATCCTGGTTACTATTTACTCCAGTCAGTAGGTGAGTGGCTGGTTAAATTACAACAAAGGAATTAATTATTCATAACTTTTATTTTCATGAGGGAAATTGAAATACATATGTTGACTGGAGCAATCCTGCCCAAGAGATGCTTCCGCAGGTCAGTGCCCTGGAGAGAGCAGGCTGACTGCTGTATAAAGTATTCACTGGATTCTATTGATGCTGTCGTAGTATGCTCATCCCTGTGGTATCTAAGTGCCAAATGGCATTCAAGTTCTGAATGGGTATTTGATTCAAGTTAGGTGACCCATCACACACCTTGAATAGCTGAAGTGAATAGTTTGCAAACACCCCATAGTCTGTAAACTGTTGTGCAAATATTTGTGAATAACCAATTCTTTTGCAGAAATAGTGAATGATTTATTAACAGAAAAATGATTGAAACTTAATATTTATTTGCAACTAAATAAACAAGCTTTGTGCTCCTGGTGTGTAGGGCCCACTCTCTCCACTCAGTTCCTGCTGGGAAAGAGGGAAGGCTGAGCTGAGAGTGCCACTGTCCTGCTGTATGGTTTACGTGTGCTGAGCTTGCCCTCTTTGGGAGTGTTCTGTGTTTAGAGCCCTGGTGCAGGGGCAGTTCCAGCCCCTCACTAACCAGGGCTGTATTTTGGTTTTCTTATTGCAGTCTCCTCCACGAGAAGGTAGCCAAGGCGAGCTCACTCCAGCCAACAGCCAGTCCCGAATGAGCACCAACATGTGAAAATCTTCATGTACAATCAAAGAACTCCCACACTTCCCTGCCCCAGCTGTTTGTCCTATGTCCTAACCACAGACTACTGAGCTTCACAAACTATCCCTGTCATTCTCTCTCTCTCTCTCTCTCTCATTGGGGCTGGGAGGGTCAGGGCTGATGGTGGGGGCTAATGTTCAGATTCACATAACTTAATTCCTTTAGAACAGAAGCTGTCACTAAATGCGGCGTCCCTGGAATTGTCCATCATTTCATTGCTGGTTGCATGTTCTCTGCCCTCTCCTCTGTATCCTCCACCGCAGAAAGAACTGGTAGTGTATTTCAGAGAGATGCTGATCTTGGGTCTCTTCAGCTGCTGTTAGAGCTTTCCAGGATCAGAACTGCAAAGGAAGATTGTAAGTTCGATGGATGGGGGTGTATCTAAAGGAAGACTGTTTCACTGACCTGAAAGTGTTGCCTTGTCTCTGAGCAATGCAGTGCTTTTCCTTTACTTCAAAGACCTCAGACTGAAATGCTCTCAATGGTATGGGCCCAGAATTCAGCCAGAGGGGAGCTCCTCTCAGGAAGCACATTCTAGGACTTCTCACCCACCCTGGGAAATATGGCACCACTTCTGCGTACTCAAAGGCATTTATTTCAGGTTGTTGCACTTACCCTGGATCCAACCTCTTTCAATCTGGCCTGTCCCTTTTTCAAAGGCCTGTTTCCTGATTTGTTCCAACATGCATATCACTTGGCTTTGGATTTTGGTGGTGGTTCGCCACTGCAGTAAGGCTCCATCTTGTGCAAATACTGTTGCTTGTCCGTTTTACTTCATCAGCATACAGTGGCTTCTTAACCTGTGCACCAGTGGCTCCTGGTGGCATAAGTCAATGCCATAAAAATACAACACATCAGGTCTGGGGCAGAAACCAAAATAAGCCAGCCCAGGTGTCTGCTCGGCAGGTGCATCTGTCCCAACTTTCCTTTTATAAATGGGTTTAAGGTGGCAGCCCAGACCCGTATAGTGTTGTATTAATGAGCGTAGTTAAGTGTTGAATGGTCTGGAATTACAGCATCTTTACATTAATCCAGTCCCATAGGACAAAGTTAAGAATTTTGATCCAGTCCTGACTGGTCCAGCAATTTACTACAAACAAATGTTATTGTTAATGCTATTTTTGTTTTAAAATAAGTCGTTATCTCTAGTGCATTAAAGAGGGTAATTAAAAAGCTCATTGCAATGTTTGGAGTTTTGTGTTAGTTGCTTTTAGCTTTGTCTTGATTCTTTTCTTTTATACTAAACTTGGTGATTTGACAGGCTGCTGTTTTGAGCATTTTAATATGGTTGGAGGTGTTTCGAAATAAGGTAATATCACTTGTATGAGGAGGTATGAAGAACGCCGCTCGATGGAGTTTTACTCTCTTGCTTTTCTGGCAGCCATGTGTAAGATGCATTTGTGTAGTTGCTAAACTGCAGCAGCTTCCTCCATTTGCAGATTTCTGTTGCTGAAGCATTTTGTGGCTTATGTGGAGAAAGTTGAGGCAATACTTACTGTGAAGTCTTTGGTTAGGTGTTGTCCATATTTTGGAATTTCAGTAACTGCATTAATCCAGGCCCATCTTTGGAAGGGCTGAACTCACCTGAATAAGATCTGGTTCCAGGAAGCTTGGCTATTTTACCCTGGTTCTCAGAAATACCGGACTAGTGTAGACCAGGCCTGAGTCTATTTTAAGGCTGTGCAAAGGCCTACCCAGCCCCCAGTGTAAATTAGAACAGCCTCAATGGTCAGAGGCAGCCAAGAATAGTTGGAGTGCAGTGTGCTATGGCCCCTTCTCTTCCCCCTCCCAAGGTCCAATATTCTGTGGTCCTTACCCAGAGGCTTGGGAGGGGAAGAGTGTTGAGCTGCTTTGACAGCGGAGGCACCCCCTTACACAGTAGATACTCTCTAAGGGCCACTTCTACACACTTTATGCTACTGTAGTGATCTACAAAGTTTATGTCCCTAGAGAGAATTGGGTCCTTTCTATCTGAGGCATAAATTTCTCAGCCATCTGGTCACCAGCAGAGATTGAGAATACTTTGTTCTTGATCTGAGACCTGCCTCAAAACGGAATTGTAGATGTCACAATTTGAAAGGCCTAGCTCAGGGGTAGGCAACCTATGGCACGTGCGCCAAAGGCAGCACGTGAGCTGATTTTCAGTAGCACTCACACTGCCCGGGTCCTGGCCACCGGTCTGGGGGGTTCTGCATTTTAATTTAATTTTAAATGAAGCTTTTTAAGCATTTTAAAAACCTTATTTACTTTACATACAACACTAGTTTAGTTATATATTATAGACTTATAGAAAGAGACCTTCTAAAAATGTTAAAATGTATTACTGGCACACGAAACCTTAAATTAGAGTGAATAAATGAAGACGCGGCACCTCACTTCTGAAAGGTTGCCTACCCCTGGCTCTAGCTCATATTCAGCAAAAGCTATTTTTCTTTAAAAAGGGAGCAGGATTCATGATATTTTGTAGTGGAAGATTCAGCTCTAGTCCATCCACTCTTAAGTTCCACGTCTTTAGCAAGGATGCTCCGATTAACGATGGCTATTAGTCTACAAAACTACTGTTCTCATCCTTAAATTAGACACAGCCATCAAGCCAGGTTCTTTATGCTCAAACAGCAACTCTCCTCCCTGGCCTAATTAATAACCTGTACATTAACTGGGGTACAAAACAAATGTAGTGCAAAGGTTGACAAATAAGAGATCCACCCTAGAGGCCAGCTTAAGCCAAAATGCAAGAGACCTAGTACCAAAAAATACTGAATAGCGTCAAATTCTGCTGTCCGGTGCACCCCTTCGAGACTCAAGTCTTTCATCTTGGATCCTTATCCTACTTCCACCTTTTTCCTTCTTTTGGCTGTCTTCCTCCATTTCCTCTCTCCCTTGTCTCTACCTCTTTAGGTTAATGGTTAAAGTGGAGGTAATATTCCAAGAGGTCCTTCCTAATTGAAAGTGGTGTTTTTTCTGATCTCTTTAGAAAAGTCATGAAATCAATCACGGGCAAAATATTGGAGAGTGGCTGGTATGGGACTTAATTATATTATCCTCCTTTAATTCTTGATTGATTAATGCCAATCAACATAGATTTATGGCACACAAATCCTGTCACACTAATCTGATATTTTTTGATGAGATTACAGATTTGGTTGATAAAGGTAATAGTGTCTTTGACTTCAAGTCTTAGACTTCTGTAAGGCATTTGATTTGGTACTTCATGACATTTTGACTAAGAACTAGAAGGATACAAAATCGACAATGGCACACATTACATTCGTTAAAAACTGGCTAACTGACAAGTCTCAAAATACAATTGTAAATGGGGTGGCATCATTGGTGCTGAGCTGTACAAATGTCTTATGATGGGGATTGATGGCAGGCATTGCATCTGGCATACTAGTGATCATGGTGCTCAAATGATAATGATTAAAAGTGGAAGATATGGCTTTGGACAAGATCTTTTTGGGCTGGGAGGAAAGAGATCCCTTCATCAGAAAAGCTCCTTAGCACAGGATCTAGCAAGTAATAGGATTTTGGTTTGAGAGAGTTGATAAAAATCCCAAATTGAAACAATTTGATTTCTAGCTGTTTCCCATTAGGCTGCTTCCCCCACCATCCAAAAATATTTTAAAAGCTCCCTCCTCCTAACTGAAAATACCCTGATACTTACCTGTGCCGGCAACCCACTCCCCACTTCACCACTACCACAGTAATCTCCTAAACAAGGCTTTGAGGATTTGCATTTATACTGATCCATAACTAGAATGCTGCATGTAAGTAATAAACTAGAATTCTGTGAAAAGGCTTTTTCATTTTAAAGGATGCTCGGCTTGGCCCAGCCCATCGGTTCTCTCTCCTGTTGCCGCACACATCACACTAGACCCAGTGGAGAAAAAACAAAGAACCAGCTTGTCTGTCTGGATTGGATAAGGGCTCATCACAAAGTCACTGCACTGTCAACAAACTTTATATGAACAAACTAGGCATTAAGGAAAGTAATTTCTTCAGATACAAAGTACAATCACTAAAAGTTTTGCTATTCCAAGTCTAATCTGTAAAGAGAGATTACTGTAATGTACTTGTAGCTACCTAAATCTTTTAAAATAAATCTCTTCCTCTATAACACAACTACTTAACCCCAAACTCCCTATCTCCAAAACACAAGAAGGGGTGCTGCATCGGAGAGCTAAAACCATTAGTTGCTAAATTTTAGCATGTTCCTTTTATGTAGAGGCTCAAAGCCCCTGTACAAACTCCTAATTCACAGTGCTCTGGTTTTACCAGACCTAGAAAATCTAGAGCTTTCATTTGACTGTATGTCAGTCCCCATAAGTCACTGTCTTTCTCTTCCCTTCAGGAGATCCTGTTTACAGTTAACATTCCCACAGGATAAAGCTTTAGAAGCCGCCTTGTTTGGAGTCTGGGTGCAGGTTGCGGGGAGGTCCATGGCACATGCTGTTTCAATCTCCCATTACAGCAGGAGATGGCAGTGAGCAGTGCAGAAGTTCCATTGCAACCTGAGGGTAAGGAGAGATGGACTGCTGCAGATTTCACATACGCCTCAGGCTACCAGGTGTTGCAGTCAGTGGGCAGCCTCAGGTTTAAGTCAAATTTCTGATCTGAGATTTTATCCAGTAAAATGGCAGACAGCTTGGTCTCCATTTCTTTAGCCTTTTATCATAACAGAGTAATGTGTCTGGATTCACACTGTTGAAGTTCTCTGCAATATACAGAAAGACTTGTTTATAGAAAGTCCCTGTCCCTGGGCAATGAATCCGTACACTGCAAGAGGCATATAGAGCACCAGGGTTAGGCATATGCAGCACTGCCTGAGATACAGATAGACCTGGAGAGACTGTTTCTGTTGCAGAATAAAGAGTCTGCTGTCTGTCCTTTCACAGAATTCACCACTAGGAAAACAGCATGGTCCGTCTTGTAGTTAACCCCCTGGACTTGGGACTCAGGAGATTGGGGAAATGTGGTCTAGATGAAATTGCTACAAGGTGGGTGCACAAGTGGTTGCAAGACATTATTCAGAGAGTGGTTATCAATGGTTCACTCCTGGGGCAATTCTGCAAGACGGCTGCAGAAAACGCCCCCCCCCCCCCCCCCCCGAATTTCTGTGCTTCCCTGCGGAAAATGGCAGGGAAGCAAAGGGTAGCCAAGTGGGGGCAGGAGGATGACCATGAGTGCAGGTTGTTGTGTTTTTTTGGGGGGAGGACTGCCCACCCAAACGGGCAAGGCATGGGGGGGGGGGGCACATGGGGTTACATGCCACCTCTCCTCTCCTCTCCCCCCCCGCCCCATTTCTGCAAGCACAGAGCTACCCAGCAAAAGGTGGCTGCCTCTGGACTTCGGACTGCAGCTGAACGCCACCTCCTGGGTCCTTGTGCCAGTTGTGCTCCCCTTCAGCCCTCTTGTTTTCTGTGCAACAGTGAGTGCCCGTGGTGGGGCTGGGTAAGGCAGGGTGGGGGAAAGGGGAATGTGGGAGTAAGGCACAGGTGCTGGAATGAGCAGTGTGGAGGGTGCTTCTGCACCCCCGGCTTGACTTGGTTTCCATTACATGCAGGGTTTACAGTTTGGTTCAATGGCTCTCAGCTCCCCTCCACCCCCAATACAAATTGTTCCAGCACCCAGGGAGTGAGGGGTGGGGGATGAGGCATGGGGCAGTGGGGGAGGGGGATGAGATGGGGAAGAAAAGGGGATAGGGGAAATGTGGGGGGAAGTGGGAGCCCAGCCTGCAGCATCCCCTTGGCAGCAGCTGTGGCTCCCGTTAACCAGGCCTGTTGAACCTCCCTACACCTGGACCTTCTCCCCCTCCCCTGACAAGCTCCCCACCCCACTGAGCTATAACCAGCTGCACCTGGACACCCAGAACCCCACATCCCCCCTCCTCCTTGAGCCCCATCTCCCCACACCCAGGCCCCCCTTCCACCTGGATCCTCTGTAGAGTCCCATTGCCCCTGCACCCGGAACCCCCAAATGAGCCCCTGTGCATCCAGATCTCCCACTGAGCCGCCTGCACCCAGACTGCCCCACACAGAAACCTCTCACCCCACACTTGGATCCTGCTGGGCTGAGCCTGCCCACCCGCACCTGGCGCAGAGGGGCAGGGCCCTGTGGTGTTTCTGGGGCAAGCTCAGCCCTTGCACTGTCAGGGTTGGGTGCAGCCTCACGGCCGAGTCCCTGT